AGTGTTTAGGGTGTAGGATTTATGGTTTAGAACTTGACGGTTCCATCGAACGATACACTGATTTGGGATAGTCCTCCCCTAGAGACCTTCCTGCAGCGCGTCAGCAGCAAAACCAGAACGAAGCAAACCGCTTCCCCAATATACTGCGTGCGTATACCCCAAGAACACGAACACCGATCGATCGAATGAAAACAGCAAAACACACCTGCCAAGTCCTGCCTCCACATCGATACACCGCAGGTTTTCCTCTCTAGACGTCTCATGCACGCATAACAATACATATACCTGTTGTATATGTGAAAGCCAACAGAAAAAATGCACTCAGCAAACATAAGGAAGAACAGACTTGTTGTGCCTGCCATCCATACGCATGCAGCGCATATGCATGCACATGTGCTCACGCAAATATATACTACACACGAACAATACACCATACACGTATCACATACATAATACGTAATAATAATAGTAGCATAAATATACGCATATGCATACACAAGCGTATGCATAATGCATATATACACATGTGCATCTGGAACATGCAGATCCACCCCCCCAAAGCCAGTGCCAGCCCGAGACGCCCTAACCAGCGCACCATCAGTTTGTTTTNATGCAGATCCACCCCCCCAAAGCCAGTGCCAGCCCGAGACGCCCTAACCAGCGCACCATCAGTTTGTTTTATTTCCCTTAAACACTGATTTGCTTTCCTGTTTCTTCTGGCTCTCCTGCCTCGGATTCCAATGATTCTTCTTCTTCTTGCCTTCGGCTTCTGTTGCCTCTACGCAAACCAAAGCTCTTGGTGCTTGACTGGTCATCTAACAAAGAAGAAAACTCCTCCTGCACGCTTCTAGAGACTGGGTCCTTCCTCCTTCTGTGCCAAGACAGAGCACCCCACGCCAGCAGCCCTAGCAGCAAAACGCCAACAACTGCCCCCACTACAGCCCACACGATCGTCCATTTGCTTTCTTTGGAGTTCCCCACCGCTCCCTGCACCCTGCTGGTCCCAGCACTACTCCTGCGGCTGCTTCTACTTACGCCGCCGTTGCTGCTGCTGCTGCGGGGGTCCACGCACACCGCCTGCCTGCCCCAGCGATGCAGCTCAAAGCCCAGCCTGCAAGTGCACACGAAGCGGCCTCTGATCGGCCCATAGCACATCAGTTGTCCCTCTCCGCAAGGTAAATCATCACAAGTAAGTGGGGCCTTGGCGCGTTGTGCTGCCATGCTTCCTTCTGCTTCCCTTGCTGACGCCGTTGCGTCCCCAGGGGCCCTGCCTTCTCCAGTGCCAACGGAACCTCCGGAGCCACCCCCCAACAACAATGCGGCCTTCAGCAACAGCCCGTCATGCCGCTTTACATGCTGCTGAGGCCNGAGCCACCCCCCAACAACAATGCGGCCTTCAGCAACAGCCCGTCATGCCGCTTTACATGCTGCTGAGGCCTCTTGGGACCATCAGACCTGCTGGTTGATGTTCCATTTGCTACCTGAGCCGCACCCCCTGAAGGAGGAAAAGGAGGCGATGCTGGAGCTGGAGCTGCTCCTTCGGAGGAAGGGGATTGCCCTGATGTTGCAATACCTGCTGCTCCATCAACTTCTGCTGCACTAGCTGATAATGCTTCTGGCGCGCCACCTGGATGGTTCTCAATATTCCGTGGTGGCGCATAGGAGGCATCTGGGGCGTGCCCCACAGTGTCCTGGGCATGCTGCCCCAGGGTTATTTCTTTGCTGCTGCTGATGCCATCTGACGCATTTTGCGCATCTCTAACTAATTTCGTTCCGCCGTCTATAACTTGAGTCTTCTCCGTTGCTCCTGCTGCAGCGTCCACCGCGGGCAGATCCACAGCTGCTTCCGAGGAATTCGTCCCCTTCTCCGCTAGCACACTCGCTTCATTCTGTTTCTCCAGTTCGCGTTGCGTTGCAGCTGAGCCGGAGGAGTATTGAAAGTGCAAAAGACAGCAGAGGAGCGCCAAAAAGCAGACTGCCAGGCGCCTCATCGCTCTCGAAAGCTCACGAAGAAACCGGAAACTCTGGGCTCCAGAGGCGCGGGGTCACGGGGAATTCATTCCCCAATAAAATCAAAGGATAAAAGAAAAGTAGCTCCGAGCAAACCCCGAAGTGCGCTCAATGCCACTGCGGTTCAGCAAAGGCCGCGCTCAGGTGATCTGCAGCAGCCGGACCTGTTTGCAGCTGTTACTACAAATAAGACAAACTAATATTGATCATTTGGGGTATTTCAACAAAATGTCATGCACAGGAAACGCCAACACAACACCCATACCCAAAGCGCAGGCCGCCACCAGGGATGGCAACGCACAGCATGCGGCAACCGACGGGAGTTTCTTATTGAGGGCAAGACCCAAGGAGTATAAGTTCAACGGACGAAATAAAGTTGAAAAAGATGAAGATGGATGCAAATACAACGGACGAGAGGAACCCTCCCGCCGAAGAATAATGGGGGGAACCTTGACCAGGGATCCGATTGCTCGATTGTGGGGTTTTATTGTTTCTTCCTGTGAATTATTGTCCAATTCTTACTCGTTTAAATTAAATAATTAGTTCAAGTAAAGTAAATTGACAACTCAACGTCAGTCGAAGAAGAAAGCAAAGAAAATGATGCAGGTGAGAGACCAGTGGGCACACTGGTCCCGGGTGTGTTCACTGATCGAAGCCCCATCATGTCGCAGTAACGAGATGGTCATGTTCTACAATTACATTGCTCACAAAATAAGTACAAACTGCATTTTTTCAACATGCTAATTAAAGAAGTCGTCAAGAATACGATTACATCCTTAATTATAACCCCAGCCGGCATGCACACTTCTTGCCCCGAAGGCAAATCACAGTCTCGCAGTGCCCGGGCTGCATCTTTGAGCAAACCAGGGACTGTGTGAAGCGATGGACTTCGTATAGTAGCATAGTGGTTTTCGTTTGCGATTAGCTTCGTCATTAGATGCAACACATACACCTTGGCACAAGATGCTTGGATTGCGGCACTAAATACGCGGTTAGCCATTCTACAGCAACAGGATAATCCACAGCGACTGCGGTAGGCCTTGGCTCTGCGTACAGGACTAAAACTGTTCCAAATTTACTTGAGATGCCTTCC